TGTGAAGTCCTCTATGTTTTATTTTTTTATTTTATTATGATTTTTAATGTTTATTTATTTTTGAGAGAGAGAGAGAGAGAGAGAGAGCACGAGTGGGGGAGGAGGGGCAGGGAGAGAGGGAGACACAGAATCCAAAGCAGGCTCCAGGCTTGGAGCTGTCAGCACAGAGCCTGACACGGGGCTCGAACCCACAAACCATGAGATCATGACCTGAGCCAAAGATGGGTACTCAACCCACTGAGCCATTCAGGCACCTCTATGTTTTAATTGTTCGAATTCTATTTCCTTCCCCGATGGCAGCCACATATCATAAATACAATCGTCAGTTCATGTCTTTATATGTTTACGTATGTGTATAACATTTGCTTTGGATGTGTTTTGTTTTTATTAAAAAAAAACGGCTTCACAACGTGAGAAAGTTCTGCCACTTGCTTCTGTCCCAGAGTAAGCCTTCTAAACTGCCCATCAGGTCATGAGACTCCCTTTCCTTTTTTCTTTTTTTCCTGCTCCCCTGACCCTTTCCAGACTGCTTCTGCCCCTTAGCATCCTGTGAGTCTAACATTGTGCCTGGTGCTGTATAACAATGTGTAGGGTGAATGAATGAATGAACAGAAGAAAAAAGGCTCTTCATGCCTTGAGGAACTTGAAAATCCAGAACCAATATTTCCCTCCTCTACTGGTTCCCTCTTTGGGGGAAGGTTTTTTTTTTTTTTTCTTTTTCCTTTTTTGACTGCTTTGTCAATGTCTGTCTATAAAACTCCCCAAGGACTTAAGGCCGTCATCAAGCCCAGCCTAGACATTTGACTTTATAAAGTGTTCCATTAGAAGAAGCAGACCTTTCAGAGCTGTGTAAGATCTCTGTAGCTGGCTCGAGACCTCTCTTCTTGGAACGGGGGACACTAGTGTTTTTCCTAGGCTTTTGCTTACTTAGAGCAAAAGTAAGTTTAGGACACACAATTCTCAAGGGGGTCTAAGGAGGTCACAATGTTAAATTCACACCCCTACAAATGGCTAAGACATCACTCATTGGACTTGGCCAGCTCTGGGGTTTTCATCAAATTGTGTTGGCCCTTCCATGTTCTAGGGAGAGGCATAAAGGGGTGGATCAGGGCCAGAGGCAGATGGGTCATTGTTGATGGTCACTGTTGAAGGGGAAATCTCAAGGCGGTGTTGGGAAAAGAAACCGTAGTCCTGTCCCGTGTGGCCAGCCTTACTATTGTTGATAGTTCCCCAAACCCCAGGGCTTAGTCCTCAGGACTTATGTCCCTCCAGCCCTCCCAGTCCCTTCCTTCACCCAGGGCTCAGTCTCCATCCTCACGGACAAATGCCCTTTTAGATTTTGAATGGATCTTGGTTAACCCGCTGACCACATGATTTGGATAAGCTTGTGACCTCTCTGACATTAGTGTCCTTAACTGAGCTGTGAACATAAATCAGATTTCTTGACAAAATTAAACTACGATAAAGGCAGTAAAGGATGTGAAATGTCTGGCTTCTAGATGGCACTCATGGTATTTTTCTACTTGTGTGTACAGGTAGATGAAACAGTAGAAGAAAATATTACAGTTATGTTAATGCACCTCCATGCATTTTCTGTGTGTTTTTAGTGTCTGACTTTATTTCTAACATTTTACCATAAACATTTTCTCATCTCATTAAAAATACCTGCTGTGCATTGCTTTCGATGGTTGCATAATATTCTAACATGTGGTTGCACTGTGAATACACCTAATCTTCCCACATTGTAAGCCACTGTATTCATTTTCAATTAAAAATTTTTTAACGTTTATTTATTTTTTTTTTGAGAGAGAGAGAGAGAGAGAAGGGGAGGGGCAGAGAGAGAGGGAGTCACAGAATCTGAAGCAGGCTGTAGGCTCCGAGCTGTCAGCACAGAGCTTGACGCGGGGCTCCAACCCATGGACCATGAGATCATGACCTGAGCTGAAGTCGGACGCTCAACTGACCGAGCCACCCAGGCGCCCCTATTTTTTATCGAGGCAAGTTCTGAGGTCAGCCCACCCTGATTTTGCTTTTTTTTTTAAAAAAAAAAAAAAAACAACTCATTTGCAAACAATGTGTCTTCTATTATTTTTGCTTTGCTTTGTTTTGTTTTCTGCCTGGGATAGTTATAATTTATTTATTTTTCTTGATGTTAAGCTGTGGGTTGTTTTTTTTTTTTTATCAGTTATGCTGGGTGCAACATAGATCATTTTGTTTTGCATTTTTAGACCATTTCTTTCAGTTCAAGAATGTTCTATAGATTCGATTGGTGTTTCAGTGTCATTACTTTTGGGAACACTTTTTTAGGAACACGTGCTTCTTTTCCTTTTGTAAATTGGATCACTTTTCTCTGTTCTTCATATATGCCATCTGTTTGCTCATTATTTTCAAATCTAGATTTTAAAAGATATGTTTCAAAGTTACTATTTCTCTGAAACTCAGTTTTCTGCAGTATAAATTCTGCTCTTCATTCCTTCTAATGTAAACCGTGATTCTAAGAGTGCTTTTATAGTTTCTTTGCCTGATTTGGGAACTTGGCCAGACTTTTCTTCATCTCAGCCTATATATTCCTTTTGTATTTTGTCTCATTTTTAATCTCTTTTCCCCCTCTAGAAGTCTTGCCGTCTTGCAATGTATTGAGAAAAAAAAAATTACGTGTACTTTCTAAGATCTTCCATTTTTTTAGTAAACAAATTTAGAGGCATTTCTTTTCTCTGTACCTTTAGGGACACATGCCAGAGCAATATAGGGTAAACCATGGTCCACGGGCCACAAACTGGTCCATTCCCTGTTTTTGTAAATAAAGTTTTATTGGAACACAGCCACACTGACTCATTCATATCTTGTCTATGGCTGCTTTTTTTTTTTTTTTCACCACACTGCAGTGTAATTATGACAGAGAGTGTGTGGCCCACAAAAATCTAAAATATTGCTCCTGGCCTTTTTGGGGAAAAAGTTTGCCAACCCCTGCACTATTCTCCTCTGTTGAATCATTGTGACGTGAAGACAGATTTTCCATTGTTTGACCCCAGAAGGGTACGGGTCCCGTTGCCTCTGTAGATGTTAATAAAGTTATTCTCTCAGATTTAAGTTCAAACAGAGCTTACCATCAGGGTACTCACAGGAAAGGGATAACACACTCATTCTGGCTATTCATAAAATATTTATTAAGGGACTATTTCCAAAGGTGTGGAAGGAGTTCAGGGATATAAAAAGGGATGTTGCAGTACCCCAAGTTTAGTACCTGCGAGGCACCCTTATCTACCCTAGTCCTGAAGGTGTCAGGAAAGGAGAGGAGGGAACCAGAACCTAGAGAGGAGAGCTGTATGGAAAGTCGCTTGACACGAGTTGCGGCTTTCAACAGAGACCTGCATCGAAGTCACGGTGACCAGTAGGGAGGAAGCCAGAGTAACATATATCCTGACCTTTCTCTCCTGTCCTGAGGTACCGTGCTGGGGTCTCCCAATGGCTGAAGTCAACCAGAAAGAAGAGGACAAAGGATTCTTTCACTGCCTCCTATACAGGTCTCCCTCCTGGGGGCACAGCAGAGAGCGGGGAAGGATGAGTAAGTGAAAGACATCCAGCACTTGGAGTTTAGGTTCCTAGACTCGAGATCAGAGCTGTCTTTTAGAACTTTATGCAGTAATGGAAATGTTCCTTACTTATGTTGTCTAATATGCCAGCCACTAGCTACATGTGGCTACTGAGCACCGAGCATGTGTCCATGGGCTTAGGGGCGGAATCTGTCATTTTATTTAATTGAAATGAATGGAAATTAAAACAGCCACCGGGAGCTAGTACCTACCATAGAGGACAGACGGCACGGGTCTGGTGGATTTCTATTTTCCTGCATGCATGGACGCCAGTGTGCTTTGCTGGACTGTCCCGAGATCTTCTGTCCCCCTGGTTCTCTGACAATTCATTTCTGGACATTCTGAGATAGTCTGTCTCTTTCCTCTTCTAGAAATAATATCTGAAAGCTCACGACCTCTAAGAAGCGTCACTTCCTGGCCTCCTTTCATGACTTTGTCTGCCTAGCATCCCACCTCGGACCTCTTCCCCTTCCTTCCCCTTGTGCAGTCATGTGATGGCCCCTCAACCGAACTGGAAAACGCTTCCTGGTGATTTCAGAGAAGATGACTGTAGAAGGCTCTCTGAGCACATGACAGGGTGTCTGTTTTCTGTTTTCAGCAAAGATCTGGGGTCTCTGCCTGTGACCTGGGGTTTGACTGTGCCTATCAGCCTTGACGCTTTGCTTCAAGAGTCAAGATGCGCCCATCGAGAATGATTCGGTTTTATCCGTTCCCTTCCCCAGAGGTAGTTGGCAAAACTTCCGCTCAGAACTTGAGACTTGGTTGATTGTGCTTCTTAGCTCTGAATGTTCCATGTGTGTTTCAGAGGGAAGCTGGGAGAGGTCACACCGGGGTGGCTTTGTGGATTCTATTAACCCCAGAGCCTCCCCTCACCGTTTTCTCTTCGTGATTGCCACTGTTGCTGTTGAAAACACATCATGATTTTGAATATGCATAATCTTAGGTCTGATGCAAAGTTAATACCAATTGCTTGATTTTCGCACCAAGACATTAATTACTATTTGTTTTGCATTTACATTCACAGGTATCTGTGGAGGCAAATTAGCATACTCTGTTGTTAGGCCATTATTAAAGTGACAGTTGGGAAAACATTTGAAAAATATTGTCTTTCTTTCTGCTTTTGTCTCTGGCATTGCCGTTATTATTCTTTGTCTTCTTGGCAACTTACGTTCATTGCACGATCTTGAAATTCCCGATAAGTAAGGGGAACCGTTCTGGGACACTGGGACTTAGAGCAAAATCCACGGTGTGGGGACTCGGGCTTCCTCATGGCTTTTGCATCTGTGTGCAAACAAGCTGAACTGGTCAGGCTGTTTAAAGCTGGTGAATCAGAGGCACCTGTGAGATAATCTTTTGTTGCTTAAATCCTTGGAGGGGCACAGCCAACACATTTGGCTGGCTGCTTCCTGCGGTTGGACCTGCCTGTGTCTGGGCTGCGAAGAGTAAGCAAAAGAGAATGACGGTCTTTCATCATTGTATTAGCAAAGAATCCTGAAATCGGATTCATGTGGCCTGGGGATGCCGGGGAGTCGCAGAAGACACTTGGGGAAGGCGCTTCATTTTCATATCTGTGATAATGCGACTCGCCCCAGCATGTCGTGGCAAAGCTCCAGTGAGGCGAAGCACCTTGTCAACGCTGGAGAACCACGCAGGTTTGACAGGTGGCTGCGGCTACAGTTGCCTGTTTTGTTTTCTCCTTTGGTCTTTTCCTGTGAAGGTGAGATTTGGCCATGCTCTCACTGGGTGTTCATCCTCCTGCACCCGGGGCTCATCGCCGGGGTCCCTGAGTCTGACTCGGCAAGAAATGATTGAACGTCGACACTGCCAGGTACAGGGTGTTCTGGGTTCCCATCCTTGGGGACTGAACGATCCGGGACAGCTCAGGATGTGTGAATTTTCCCCAAAGATGGGAGAATGTATTCGTTCGATTAATAGATTAATCTGTTCATGGAACAATCTTTTGTTGAGCCTCTTATGAACTGGGTCCTGTGTCAGGCACCAGTGACTGAAAGCGCACAGGGTAAGGTTCCCTTCCTGCAAAGTTGCCAAACTCTTTGTGCGCTGTGCCTACAAATCCCTTGTGGGCTCAGTCTCACATTCAGAGTTCAGGACGCTCCCTGTCCTCACTCCCAGGGGATTCTGGCCAGGCAGCAGGAGTTGAAAGCTGCATTTTGAACAAGTCCCTGGGTGGCGGAGAACAATTGGAAATACTGCACTGGGGAATCCATGTGCTGTAAGACGCGCACACACACACACACACACACACACACACACACAGACACGACTAAATCAGTGTGGGAGAGCCAGAAAACGTTTGTCCGAGGTGGAAATCAGCTGTTCAGGCAAAACCTGCTTCCTGCCTCCACCTGACTTCCTGGGCCCTTCCTGCCCTCGGTCGTGATTTCTTGCCCTCAGCAGTGAAACAGCCATAGCCGGCCTCTTCACAGCCCTGAAGTTCCATTATAAAATATGCACATTTTTATACAGAAAAAGACAGGGAAATATTTTGTGCATTATACCGTAAGTTTGTCCCCCTTATCGCTAAATCTTTTTGGAAAGAAAACCACCTTGGGTCGCAGTGTTTCACGCTCTTTGGCACACTACCCTTTGTGTAACTGATTTGTTTATTTTTTATTAGTTTTGGATACAACGTCAGCAGTGGCTATGTAGTGAACCTTTACTCGGTGACTGCATGAAGCGCATTCCATGCATTATCTCAATTAATCTTTGCAGCCAATCTATAAATTGAGTGTTGTTGTTTCCCCCATTTTACAGAGGATACAACTGAAACTTGTAGAGCTAGCCTCTGGCCCAAGGTGGCCCATTCACTGATGGCATTTCCAAATTTCTATGCTTGCTTTTTTAGTGTTTCTTTATTTTTGAGAGAGAGAGAGAGAGAGAGAGACAGAGCGTGTGCAGGGGAGGGTCAGCGAAAGAGGGAGACACAGAATCCGAAGCAGGCTCCAGGCTCCGAGCTATCAGCACAGAGCCCGACGTGGGGCTCGAACCCACGAACCATGCGATCATGACCTGGGCCGAAGTCAGACGTTGAACTGACTGAGCCACCCAGGCGCCCCTGCAAATTTCTATTCTTCTAAATGGCACCAAAATGCCCATTGTGGGACAGAAACCTTTGGCCATGTGCTTGATTATTTCTTTATAACTGATTTCCCAAAGCAGGGATATTTGGGCGATTCTGTGCCTCATCCGGACAGACCTTCTTCCCTGACCTTTCCTTCTCTCTCAGTCGCCCTCACTGCCCCAGGAGCCCAGGGCTTTAGTGCTGTGCCTTTACTTCCCTGCTTTCCTGGGACTACCTCCCTGTCACAGATAGAGGGCTGTGAGTCAGGGCTCCTGGGACCCCCTTTCTTGGCCACCAATGTCTCCTCACGTCTCTGTGGGCAGTGACAAGTAAAGGCCAATAAAATCAGATCGGGGTGATGCTGTGACAAGGTGTCAGCACCTATGGTTGTCCCTGGATTGTGACAGGCAACTGGGCAAGCTTTCTCCACGACCCCTGGGTGACGAGTGACAAACAGCATCCATCACGAGTACGGCTGGACTGAAAGCAGAAGGAGACTGCTGAAGGCAGCTGTGAGGAAGTCCCCCAGGCCTCCTGCCACCGTGAGCCCCTGGGACACCGCCAGCGGGAGACCTTCACAGGCCAGCAGCAGGAGGGGAGGTGCCGGTAAGCGGGGAGTTAATAGCACGTGCTCTCTCCCTCCCGCAGGACAGGCCGAGGGTATTCGGAGGTTTGAGGGTCCCCAGCTTTTGGAGGTTCCATCCTGCATCATCAAAAACATTTCAAAACGCACTCACATCTCAAATTAAGCATGTAAATTGAGCTGCATTCAGTAGTCGCCATTTGGAGTATTTTGCAGGCATTTCGTGAACATTTATTTGTTGTCATTTTTTTTGTACTGATCCGTTGGAGCCATATTTTGCAAAGTCCTAATATTTTTGGAGGCCCTTGAGTAATTCCATGAGCACTGAGTTTGTAACGCCCCTGTGGGTAAAACAACCCTACCCTCTCAAGGACTCCAAGAAAGAGACCCTCCAGCTTATTTGTGACCTACGTGCAAACCTGTCCTCTACTCAGCCCCAGACTCCCCTGGCACCTTCCTCCTTCGTGTTTCAGTAGCACCCAGCTTCCATTGGCGCATAGGGACGATCTATGCTTGGTTGCTGTCATATCTGTCTCCTATGTTGGAACTGGAACCGGGACTCTCTCTCGTGCCTGAACGCCCAGTGGCTTCTCAGGGATGCCAAGTGGGACATAACAGGACCTCAACACATGCCTGTCAAATGCATGGAAGAAAGGGTGGTGGCTGGAGCTGCGAGGCATGTTTCTGGATCTGGCTTCTCAAAATGCGATCCCTGGTTCCAGAGTGGCAGCCGCAGCTAGCATTAGCTAGAAGTGCAGGTTCTCAGGGTCCTACGCTAGAGTCAGAGTCAGGAACTCTGGACCGGGGTTACCTCCAGGGGATACCAATGCACTCTGAAGACGGAAAGCCATGCTCTGTATCAGGGCTTCTCCAAATGAGCACCCAAGGGTGTCTTAAATTGCAGATTCTGATTCAATATATTTGGGATGGGACTGAGATTCTGCATTTCTTTTTTTTTTTAATGTTTATTTATTTTTGAGAGAGAGAGAGAGAGAGAGAGAGAGAGAGAGAACCGGGGAGGGGCAGGGAGGGGGAGACACAGAATCCGAAGCAGACTCCAGGCTCCCTCCGAGCCATCGGCACACAGCCTGACGCGGGGCTCGAACTCACGAACCGTGAGATCATGACCTGAGCTGAAGTTGGACGCTTAGCCGACTGAGCCGCCCCGGTGCCCCTGAGATTGTGCATTTCTAACAAGCTCCCAGATGATGCCGGTACTGGGTGCATGGACTGCAGTTTGAGTAGCAAGGCTCTAGACTATCCCAGTCCAAGGTCCAGCTTACTCATTGCCAGGCAAAGAGAAGGAAATCTATACTTGGTAAGTGACATCAATTCTCTGAGCCTCAGTTTCCTTATATGTGACAGGGGGACAATGATGCTTCCTTCACAAGCTTATGATTACGGATAAATGAAATAATACGCAAGACACAGTGTTGGGACATTGTGGACGCTTGGTAAATACTTCTTTTCCCTCGATCCTTTCCATACAACTCCTTATCATTTCTTTTTCTCTCTAATTCAGGCATTAAAGCTCTTAAACACAAAGGCTGTGCTTTTATCCTTCTGAAGCCAGCCAGCGAAGGTAGTTATTTGAATGACTGATGTTAAGCGATGAGAAAAACCTTTAAAATCTCCAATTTTTCTTACGATCGTTTAGGATCTGACAAACAGGATTAAAAAGGATGGGGTGAATTCACAAGGGGTAGGAGTCAGGACTGGAAGGAAGGAGGTTCTTTTGGTTGAGGCTCAGGGAAGAAGAGCTAAGAGAACACCCACGTGGCTCCGAGCCAACGGGCATTTACTGAGCACCGACTGCATGCACTGTGCCCGGCCCTTGGGATCACAGCCTCACTGGGATGCTGGAGAGGAATGGAATGCGGGGGCCCCGAAGCATTTTTCCTAATTGTGATCATTTGTCTTCGTGTAAGACGCAGACCCTCATTTGGACTTGGCTGGGGATTGTGTGGGCAGAGGAGGTATGGGTGTGGGGGGAGGCAGTCAGCATGAAATTAATTCTCTGCCTCTCCCCTCTGGAATGTCAATAATGTGCTGAGGACAGTGGGGGAGTGCGGTCGGCTGCCAGCACCCCCAGCCCCCCAACCTGGGCTCAGAGCCTCTGAGCCCTCCTGGCCGTTCGGGGGCTCCTAGGTCCCCAGGCTTGTGGCACACTGCTTCTCCCGTCCCGGAGAGCCAATCCACCATCCAGCAAGGGGAATCCTGACCGCCCATTGCTAGAATTTCCCTTTCTCCCAGGATGTTGGGTGGGGACATCAACAGAAGTTGGCTCCAGGTGGCAACAGTTTGGCGGGTGCGGGGGCCGGGAACCCAGCCGCCCTGCTCGAGGCTCCCGACAGTCTCACCCTGTTGTGCCGTCTTGCTCTGGCTCAGCTGCCCTCACGGGGTCTGCAGCCAGCCACCGAACTGGCCCGGGCAGCTGTGCCCCACGTTACCACGCATCAGAACGCTCTGGAACTGCATTAAAATATTTCACATCGAGATTAGGCTCACAATTACACGAAGTTATGTTTATACAGGCTTGTGGCAGGAAAAGGGCTTTAACGTGTTCCAAAATGTCTCATTTTATAGGTGGGCGACCGCAGCACAGGGAGCCCCGGGGGACTCACCGGACGTCCCACGGCCAGGCGGGCCAGGTGGGCAGTGCCCGGCTGGCACCACCTCTCAGGCTAGTGCCTTTGACCCCGGGGGCGGGCACAGCCAGCTCCAGCTGTTCGCACTGCTTGCCCGGTGGTAAGCATGGGCTGTCAAATTCCAGCTCTGCAGACACACGATGGCAGGTGCTCGCCTGCTGGTGATGCCCCGAGAGGTGGAGCACTGCCCACCTGTGTGGAGGACAGCGTGCAATCCTCTGGCCCGGGAGGCTCTGACTGAGCCAGCAGGTTAGTGAGAGAGCTGATCACAGAGGGGGAGAAACTCCTGGCATGGCGGGAACCAAGGGATTTTTGTGGGAGGGAGACGACAAGGTGGGGACACAGAGGGCTGTTCCCATTCTGTTTTGTGTCTACAGTTGGTGAGACGGTGAGGGCTCCTTCAAATGTCCATATGCTAATAAGTACCACAGCACGTATGTACACACATATATTTGTCTGCATAGTTTTTCTATTCGAAAAGTAACATGCTTGTTGTAAATAGCTTGGAAGTACAGAAATGAGAAAAGGCAACTTCCCATGTTTTCGACATAAAGGGACGAAGATTATTAACCACACAGGTACATTCCCATGTTTTCCTATGTATTGTTTTACCCAGGTGGGTTCATAGTGAGTCTAACCTTTTATATCTTGCTTGTTTCACTTACCAGGTGCGTTTTCCATGTTATTACACATTCTTTCTTTTCTTTTTAAAAAATGTTTGTTCATTTTTGAGAGAAGGAGCATGAGCAGGGGAGGGGTGGAGAGAGAGGGGGACAGAGGATCTGAAGCAGGCCCTGCGCCGAGATCAGAGAGCCTGATGCGGGGGCTCGAACTCACGAACCGTGAGATCGTGACCTGAGCCAAAGTCGGACGCTCAACCGACGGAGCCTCCCAGGCGCCGCCCCCCCCACCATGTTATTATAAATTCTTTATCAACTCCCCCCCTTTTGGATGCATAGCAGTTCACCATCGCTTGTGCCTCTTTTCAACGATTATCGGACATTTGAATTGTTTCCACATTTTCCACACGATAACCCGGAAGTAAAAATTACCTCTCTACCCATAGATTTTATAGACACATAGCTAATAGTTGTGACATCCCTTAATAGCTAATAAAGATCAGAATGATATCAGGTTGTTTTTTTTTTTTCAGAGAGATACCGAGGAATGGAGAACACCTCGATCAAAGCTTGACCAAGCTCCTAACGTGCTGCCAAATTATATTTTAAAAGGAGGGTTCCAATTGTCCATCCCGCCAGCCCTGTTTGAGAGGTACCTGAGTAGCTACAGAGAGCTACTGGGGCAGCGGAGGGTCGGCTCAGAGATCAGAGTGTTTGTTTTAATTTTATTAATTTTATCTATCGATCGATCGATCAATTTATTTATTTATTTATTTTTGATATAATTTATTTATTTTGATATAATTTGATATTATTGTCAAGTTGACTAACATACAGTGTAAACGGTGAACTCTTGGTTTTAGGGGTAGATGCCCATGACTCATCGCTTAGAGTGCCTGCACCACAACACTCCCGACGTACCAACGGCACGGCCCAACACGAGCCATTTAACCCCCACGGGCCTTAGTTTTCTCGTTTTCCAAACGGAGATGCCATAGCGGCCTGGGATGAGCACTGGGGGTTGCATGGAAGCGATGACCCACGAGGACCTACCCGGCAAACCAACAGCATGCTTTACACACTGTATGTTAGCCAATTTGACAATAAATTGCATTAAAAACATAAAAGTGTAGTTACATAGCAGGTTTCCTTTTAAAGGATTAATCTATTTTGTTTACGTAGACTGTTTTGGGTTAAATTGCGTCTTAATCTGGCTTTGCATTCTATAATAACGTGCTTTCTTTCCTAGGGGACTTGCCGCACGCTGGTTAGCTGTAGTTCCCCGTTTACCTGGGTATTTTGTTACACGATGACAGTGTTCATCTGGCACATTTTAAGACAATGTGAGTTTAAGTCCAATATGAATCAGCTTCATGCCTCAGTAAAATACGTATGTATTTTGTATAAATAAGACCCATACAAAAAAAAAAAAAAAAAAAAGAATTAACGAATGATGACATGCGGCATGCTCCGAATGGTGTTCACAGACAGCCCTAACCCCAGCAGCAGGTCCTAATGGTAATGATAACCACCAGGGTCCCAAGGACCCAAGCCCTTGGTTCACGCTCCCGGCAGACGCGGGGAGGCAGGGCTGACCCTGCGCTCAGATGGAGTCAGAGCACATGCCCTCTCCTCATACGTTGTGCTGAACAAATTCTTATAATTTAATCATGACTTTTAATGTTTGAAATGGTGGCTTTTACATTTTACCGAAGTGCCATTGCCAGCTGCTCTGTGTTAGACTCCCTGTTTATATTGCGATGCAAATTATTCCTGGTGGAGAGTTTACAAACTGCACTTCCATTATTAATAGGGTTATGATTTTCCCCATTCCACTCTTATCTCTATCGTTTGTGTGATACATAATTCATACTCACTACCCTTCGCCGGTCTCAGTGCCAGGGCACAATGGTCTCTCTCTCTCTCTTTTCCTGGAGACAGGAATTGGGATGCAGTGAGAGTAGATGACCATGTGCCTAGCATCTGGCTCTCTAAGGTGTTTTCTGAAAGGACGCACATAGAGGAGAAACAGAAGCACCGGACCGTCTGCGGTCAAGGCTTGAGTTCCAATTCTATCTAAGCTGTGAATCCAAGGCAGACACGTGGGGGGCTTCCTGGGCCCTAAAACAGAATCGATCCTTAAAAGGCAAGGGGTATCTTGGTCGAGGATGGGTCACATCATTGGCAGGAGGGCTGGGTTGGCAGGGGAGGGGTCAGCTTAGTGGGCTCAGCTGGCTCGTGTGGTCTGAGTGTTCCCAGAAAAGTCACGGCCCCCGTCCTTACCCCATCCTCACCGAGTGCCCCTCTCTGCAGGTGGGCAGGTGTCCAGCTCTTTACATACCCACCTTGACAGCTTGAAAATAGACCCCAAGGCTAAGTCCTGTCAGAAAATCCCAGGGTGGGGTTAGACAGCCATCTGTCTCAGGACTGGGCCTCGTTCTACATGCTTGAGCTTAGGGACCGAAGGTGGGCAGACCCTTCCTCCTCACGAAGCTCACGGGCTTGGCTGGGGAGCAGGTGCTGGAGGCTCAGGAAGGTTCTCAGAAGAAACTGATCTGAGGAAGCCACAGGCTGGGGGCCGCTTAGCCCCCAGAACACACGCAGCTGGGGACACGGGGCAACTGTCCTCGTGAACTGCTCTGCAGGCTTTCCCAGCTTGGTGGCAGTCACAGGCCCCTTGCCTCCATCTGAGTGGAAATGTGTTCTCTGCTCTAAATTCTGCCCTCTTCCTTAGATGGGAGGGTCCCGACCACCTGCACCTTCTCTTGGGGGGATGTTCTTTCTCACCTCTCGGTCCCCTTAGCACTGATCCTGTCTGTGTCCTCGATCATCCCCACGCCATGACTCTCAAGAGGCTCTTTCCCTGGCAGCCGTTTTTCCTCGGTGGATGGTGCCCCCTGCCCCTGGCATTGCAATTCCTACAGGAAAAGCTTCTTCTTGTCTCTCAGGCCTGAGTGCACCTCCCCTGGGTGGTTTGCAGGGTCCTGCAATGTCATCAACATGGCTTCCCTGCTGATGGCCAGCCACGAGGGCCCCGGGGGACAGGCCGGGTGAGAGTGCTCGTTCTTTCCCTGAGCACCCTCATCGGTGCCCGGGAGCTGGGGGCGGTCTCGGTTCCCCTATCAGAGAGTCTCCATTCCCACAGTCAGGGGCTGACAGGCAGCGTCGTGACTTTTCCAACTGCGAGTCCTTGTCTTGGTGACTGGCGGGGCCGGGTCCCCTGGGTGGGGCCACAGACAGCCCCTCGGAGGCCTCCCTGGGCTTTTGTACCCCCAGGAGGCTGCCTCATTCCCTGAGGCTGGAGCAACCACCTGACCTGAGAGAGCCCGAATGCTCTTTCTGGAACCCCTGGCGGGACACTCTGTGGGTCTGTTTCCTCACCACATCCCTGGCAGTGACAGGAACGTTTCAAGTCCCTGCCGGGCACATATCCCCACTTCCCGGCAGGCTCTGAACCCCACCCTCTCCTCGAATCTCTGTGGTCCCTCCTCCCCCAGCTCCTCCCTCAAGCACAGACACACACGCATGAAGGTGCCCACGGCCACACTCACGGGAACGCACGTAGACGTTACAGAACCAGATCCTCAGAAGTCCAGGCAAAGGCACACAGAGGCACAAATGCCCACAAACCTACATGTGAGCGCACACACCCGTGCGTGTGTGTACAAGCACGCAGAGGCACACGCGAACATATGTACACGTGAGCGGACACAGCCGTCCACAGGGGCAAACACAGGCCTCGCTCTCTTCCAGGAACCCCTGCTTCTTCCTGCACGTGCTGGGGTGCGTGGAAAGCCACGGTCACATAATCAGACCCGCTCGCCACTCCGAGGCCCTGAGTTACACACTGAATCAGGAAGCGCTTTCCTGTTTGAGTTTCTTTTCTTCTGGCAAAAGGGAGATACTTATTTCCAAGAAGCGGAGCCAGGGGGGGTTCGCTGAGCCCGCACGGCTGCGGCTTGGGCACATTCTAGCATCTGATTCTCTCCCGGTGTTCAGTTTACACAGCTCCTGTTTCTCCGGGGCCCTAAGAGGCACCGCCTCTGTGAGCCACCAGAGTGAGGCAAGCAGAAGACAGTTGCACACTAAAAAAAAAATTTTTTTTAATGTTTATTTTTGAGAGAGACACAGAGAGAGAGAGAGAGCAGGGGAGGGCAGGGAGAGAGAGAGAGAGAGAGAGAGGGACAGAGGATCCAAAGTGGGCCCTGTGCTGACAGCAGAGAGCCTGATATGGGGCTCGAACCCACCAACTGTGAGATCATGACCTGAGCTGAAGCTGGACACTTAACTGACTGAGCCACCCAGATGCCCCGAGAGTTGCACATTCTAAAGTTTCTATTTATCAGACGTTGACATTACCCCGTTGGCCGTTGCCAAGGATCTTGGAGATGACCTTTGCTAGCCTCTTCTCTGGTGTCTTGATTCTTAGCTCCAGGAGCTGAGGTCTCCTGCGACCTTCCGGAGAAGTTATTTTGGGCTAGGGACTCAGCTTCACAGGAATTAACCCCCTCAAGGACAGGGGATTTTTAAAAAAGTTTATTTATTTATTTTGAGAGAGAGCAAGAGAATGCATGAGCAGGGGAGTGGGAGAGAGAGAGAGAGAGAGAGAGAGAGACAGGGAGAGAGAGAGAGAGAATCCCAGCGCCAGAGCCTGATGCAGGCTCAAACTTACCAACCATGAGGTCATGACTTGAGCCGAAATCAAGAGTTGGACACTCAACTAACTGAGCCACCAGGCACCCCACATTTTTTTTTTTTTTTTTGCCTGTTTTGTTTGCGGCTGTCTCCTTAGCACTTGGAACAGTGCCAGGAACACAGTAGAGGCTTAATGAATATTTGTTTCATGAATTATCTAATGTGACACAACAACCCTTTAAGTTAAGTATTGTTTTTCTCATTTTATAAATTTCTCCTTTTCCAAACAGAGGCCTCTGGTGGAGCCAACCCCAAACCTGCAGTTAGAAAGCGAGCCAGAAATTGAAGCCAGGTCGCTGGCCCCACGGTGCAGGCTTCTGTACCATTAGGAGGTTGGCCTTGCTGGTCTCGGGATCCTGCACTTTGAGAACTGAGAAGTCTTCGGTTTATGCCACGGTCCCTTTAAGGTTGATGAAGAGAGAGCCCAACTTACGGAAACTGAGTCCCATAATCTGGGTAACTGGGTCACTCCTCTGGTGACTCCACTGGCTTTTGGGGTTTCCCCATTTGTCTTGCCAAGTCTGGCTTGTCTGTACCCAGAGCAGCATGAGACCACAGGTGACAGTTTCTCAGAGTGACAGAAACATACCTGAACCAAGCCCAGAAGTGTGCCTGCACTGGGCCCGCCGGGAAAGTCTCATCCTTGGGATGGTTGGGTGATGATCGAGATTGTTTGTTTGTTTGTTTGATTGATTCATTCGTTCATTCATTCAGCACGTATTTATTGACGGCCTCATGTTGTGGTCCTGTGTCTGACTCTGAGGGAACCGAGTTGAATTGGATGTACTTGTTTCTCTCCCGGGGCTCACAGTCTGGGCCCCAGGAATTCTACCTCAGAAAATCTGGGAGGGGCAGTCCAAGAATATGGGCCATCCCCCAGGCGATTCTGGGACAAGTGGTCTGGGTGGAGGGTGACAGCCTCCAGAAGATCTGGACCAAGAAGTCAGAGAAACTGTCATGGGGACAATACTACACTTTAAAGGCTCTTCGGGGCGCCTGGGTGGCGCAGTCGGTTGAGCGTCCGACTTCAGCCAGGTCACGATCTCGCGGTCCGGGAGTTCGAGCCCCGCGTCGGGTTCTGGGCTGATGGCTCAGAGCCTGGAGCCTGTTTCCGATTCTGTGTCTCCCTCTCTCTCTGCCCCTCCCCCGTTCATGCTCTGTCTCTCTCTGTCCCAAAAATAAATAAACATTGAAAAAAAATTAAAAAAAAAAAATAAAGGCTCTACAAGGCTGTCAACAAGAAGGAAGAGAAAATACTAAAACGAGTTTGTTGTAAAAGTAACCAAATGATGAGGAAATAAACGAAGCACAACATGAAAATGACTCACTCCGGATAACTAACCACTGTCCTTAGTTGAGTATGTGACCTTTCAGAACTTTTTTTTACCAACGTGAACTGTATGAGTACAACCCCCATGTGTCTAAACCTCTGTCTGCGTCTGTCTCTACAGCTGCATCTGAAAATCCAAATGTGGCTCCAGGGCACCGCCGTCACTGTGGCCTCCCCTGACACTGGGACCCTCAGGATACTCTGAATAAACAAGAAGTTCCTCTCCTTTTGTTCTCCTGGGTTGTAAAGAATCCTACCTCCTTGGTCCTGTCGTCTCTCTCTCTCTCTCTGTGTTCCAATTGATACGTCTCTTTCTATTTTATTTATTTTATAAATAATTTCCATTGAAGTATAACATAAACATGCACATATCCTAGGTGTCCAGCTGCCGATTTTTCTCAAGCTGACCACACCCACGTGACCCGCTTCCAGATTAAGGCACAGAATACCACCAGCACCCCAGCCATTTCCATTCTTTACCCCTTCCTCATGCTAGGACTTGGGCAGGAGAATCTAGGGCCGGACTACGGGTGGATTTGAGGTCCAGGCACCTCTCCGTTCTCTGCACTCACTCCATTTCATTTTCTTTGGTGTCACTTCCCTCCCCAGGTGCTCACCATGGACTTCTGTTTCTGTTAGATGCTTACACCAGCTCACGTGTGCAGGGACAAGGTTTGGCTCCGGTAGGACCGGGTGCAGAGCTGATAGCTCTAAGGGATGGCCAGATGATGGGTTCCAGGAGAGATCGGCAGCCCTGAGAGATCCTCACAAGGGCCCAGACGCTGCTCACATTTTGATCTCAGTCAGTTCTTGTGACATCTTGCTGCTCCTTTGCACAAACATGTCGTTGGAAGTGCCCTTGCAGCTCGCAGGCTTCTTTGGATTGAGGCCAGTGCGAATGGCCCTCCTCTCCCTCCCTCCCCCCCCCCCATCACCCTCTTCCAGATCTTGGAGAACAATCTCACGTGTTCTTTGAGACTTGACTCTTCCTGAGCTATCGGCAAGCAATCTTTGCTGCTCTTTGCCCTGGAGCCCTTTAAAGATTTTCATTAATTATTTTTTAATATATATTTATATATATGTATTATATATAATATATTTATATATATGTATTATATATAATATAATATATATATGTATCTATATATCTTCTTTTAATTTCAAAAGGAGTGTGTGCCTGTGGAAAAACATGCGAATCATACAGCAACATACAAAGGGAAAATCTTTCCAGTTTGCTTGTGACTCCCCATTCCTACCGCCCAGGGGAAACTATCATCAGCAGAAATGATGTGTATACCAGATCTCTCTCTTTATTCTTCTCTTAGTTTTTTGCCAAAACTGGGATCATGTTATCCTGTTTTACAACCTCTTCTTGGCATTAACAATATAGAATGCTCATCTTTCCAAATCAGCCCATACAAATCTACTTCATTCTTTTTAACAACTTCACAGAAGTCAACAATTTGGATGTGCCGTAAGTGACTTGTCTGTTCTTGTTTTTTTTTTTGTTTTTTTTTTGTTTTTGGAAGGGGGGAGATGGGTGGGAGGGTGACATTTAAACTGTCTCCTAGTTTTTCTATGACAAATAAGGCTACAGTAAACATGCTTTATACTTATATTTGTCTGAGTACTTTAATGGGAGAAGGTTCTGGAAGTTTTATGGCAGGGCTCAAATCACATCTGCCTTCGAAATGTTGATATGTTATTACCAGCAGAGTAATGCGCAGAAGATTTCCCCTCTTTCACTACTGGATATACTAAATCTTTTTAAATGTTTACCAATTTATAGATAGAAAAGACTATCCTATTTTAATTTAATTTATATTCCCCTGTGTACTGATAAAGATTAGCATCTTCATATATATATATATATATATATACATATGAATATAAATGTTCATAAATATTATGCATAAAAATATTCATATATATATTTTTAAAAATAAGGACTAACCTCTTCAAGGAAAGAGCCAAGAAACAAGGTTGTGGGGCCTGGAACGTTTAGGGAACAGGAAGAAAGTCTGAGTCTGGAACTCAAGTTGTTAAGGATGGAAAAGGTAGTGGAAAATTTGGCAGAGGCCAGATTGTAAAACCCTATGCGTGGCTGGGTAAGGACAGAGGCAGAAGATGAGATCTGTGTGCTAGCATCCATGCAGGGGGTGGGTTGGAAGGACTAAATTTGGAGGTGGTGGGGGATAGGTAATGAAGGTAGTGGCTAGTTGTGGGGATGGACAAAAGAAATCTTATTCAGGAAACTTATTGACTTTCCTTACGGTATAGTTGACATGGATTTGATGGGGTGCTGGTGTGGTCTGGCCCAAGAGATGGGACAGGCCTTCTGTGAAACTGCATGAACCTTCTAAAGTTTCCATTTGGTGAAGGTGGCACCTGGCCCATCACCTTTGACCATGCTTCTGGGTATGGTCATCTGGATACTGGAAGCAATGCCAATGGGGTTTTCTGATTCCAGTGGGCTCTGTCGCTTGAGATGACTTTCTTCTCTCCTCTTGACAATGGCCAAGTCCATGTTGCCCCTATTAGATTATGATCTGAGCTTAACTTATGGCTATCTTCTGAGATTCCTTGAACTAAATCTGTGAAGGACCCTCAGGTCAGCCACATACCCATTTTGGGAGCATGTTCTATGGACCTGGGGTTTTAGGAGGCTTAATACCCAGTCTCTACCCTTGAAGAGCTAGAGTCAAAACATGGAAAGAAGGGCTATGCCTATGAAATGGAAGTGTCTGATGCCTTAGCTACAAAAAAGGACAGTGCCCACAAATCCTGAGGTTTTAGCTTAAGGCAGGAGTGATGGTGGTTTGGGTCTATGTGCAATTGTGTGTGCAGGAAGACGTTTCACAATCCTCAAGGACTCCCTCCTGGATGATTCCTGTTTGATGTCTCTTGCCTGCTAGACAACCTACAATTTAATATGATCAAGACCAGACTTTTAATTCTTCTCCCCATGGTCCCAACCAAGACCTTCCTAAGCCTTCTCCAGTTTTGCAACATGGTGCCATGACCCATCCACTTGGTCAGAAAGCTAGCAGTGTATTTTGGTTGCACCTCTCTCCCATCCCCCCATGAATACTTCACTCTATGGATTACCTGTACAGATGTCCCTCAGATCATTCCTCTTATTTATGCCTGCCATCCACCCTCTTCCCTCCATTTTCATCACCTCCTTGGTCCAAGCCACCACCACATCTCATCTTGAAGGCAGTGGCCATCTACGTGTTTTCCTCACTTCCATTTCTGCTTACCTAAAATCCACTCTCTATCCTGTAACCACGCGATTCTTTTTTCTTTAAATATAGAATGGATTGTGCCACTCACATGCTTCAACTCCTTCAATGGCTTCCCATTGCAGTGAGAAAACTAACCCAAACTTCTTGCCTAAGAGACCTTGTTTGATCTGGCCCCTGATAACCTCTTGAACCTCATCTGGGACTAGTCTCCCTAGCTTGCTGTTTTCACTTCCTCAAACAAGTCAGGCTCCTTCCCTGTCCTTTGACTACACTCTTCCTTATGTCTGATACCCTCTTTCACATGTATGACCCCCGTGTGGGAGCCTCATCATCCTTAGGTTTTCAGGAAGGCATTTCAAGACCTCCCTATTGAAGAAGGATATTCTTTAATCTTGGCATCCTGCTTTTTTTCACATTGTATTCTTTTCTTTTTTATTGAGGTATAACATGCATACACTAAAGCACTGTAAACACACTAATTTTAAGTGTATAGTTTTACCTATGCACACATATGTGCACATTCCTATCATACTTCTAGCTCCTTGGTAGCACTCGTGTTTGTTGTTACTTATCTGATTTGCAAAGGACAATAACCTGATAACACAACATTATGGAACAAACCCCAAGGAAACAGATACTCCTGGCTGGGTGTATGCATTCATCAAACCCCTTTAGAAGGGCAGTGTCAGAGTATCGTTTAAATTTTAAAATGCATGGACCCATCGAGGCAACGTTCCTCTTCGAGGAATGGGTCCTACAGATGCACTCTTACATATGTGTGAAGGTACGTGGACCAGCACTGTTTATAGCAAGAAAATATTGGAAATACCCCCAGTGTTGCTGCGCAGAGGCAGGTTCCGGAAGTTATGGTTTGTTTATGCAAGAGAATACTATGGAAGCTGTTAGCGAGAATGTGCAGCGTGGGAAAGTCCTGAAGTTACATCAAATGGAAAGAGGTGTGGGACGACACAGATAGGATCCTCTCTCTTGAAGAAAAGAAGGATATGTTTAGTTGTACCTGCTTGCATAGAGACCTGGCTAACCCAAGAGACTAGTTGTGGTTATTCTCTGGGGGAGGAGAATTCAGTTGTCTTGGGTGGGAAGGAAATGTTTCCTGTTTGCTCTTTCTGAACTGTTTTTTCCTTCTCTTATGTATATGTGATACCTTCTCCAAACACACACACACACACACACACACACACACACACACACACGAAACAATAACGTCTTTGGACTCCAAGGGAAAATGGACAAGGAGAACAGGTTCCCACAGGCCAGGACGGGGCTGCAAGAATAATTTGGCCAACTTGGTCTTTGGCACGGAGAGGACTGGCTGGCTTAGAACTTGGCTTTCAGAGGGTCCTTCGGGGGTCCTTCGGGAGAG